GTTTTGTAAAAATAAATTATATGAATTTTTTTACGCCTCCGAGTTCCCTGTGGTCCATCTGCACCATTCGGTTCAACTTTAAAACCACTGCACACGACAATTTATGGAAGAATGACACAAGTTGAAGCCAGTAAGGGATACCTTAGTTTGTCATTCTGCAGCATGAATATCATCAACAAGCAGCAACCCTAATGCAGATACAGCTCCACCAAACTAAAAATGTGACATGGTTAGTCACTCCTATAAAGTTTAAGTATTTTTGTTTTGTACTTGAAAGAAAAAAAAAGATTCAAGCATTGTTTTGTTGCATTTGTATCTTTTAGCTTTTTAGAACAACTTCTTTTAATATGAAGTACGTCTTACTGACTCAGTTTCATCTTACACATGATGTTTCAAGCAAAATAAATTTGTTTAAAACAGCCAATCACTGCAACGGTCGCAAGCTGCTGCTTTGCACTGCAAAGATCCTGATTTAATGGAAGAAATCTTTTTAAGGTAATGTAATGCCCCTCCTTTGTTCTCCCTGACAACATACTGTATACAATTTCAGTCTGAAGAAAAACCCTGCAAGATATTTGCACACGTGCAGTTCACATCAGCTGCCGTGCAGTAATCTGAATATTAAGCTTTCTAATCAGTAAAACAGAGAAAGATGTTAGAACCATGCTAGAGAAAACAGAAATTATGAAGCGGTGCCGCTGAATTTTCTCCAAAACATAAAGTTGTTCATGTTTGACATTCACTCTTCATTATAGGTGGGTCTTTTTGTGTTTCAACAGTGGAAAAAAAAAATCTTATATAAAAACCGTGAGATGACGCCAAAGCAACAATAAACTATGTTATCAGTGAGCAATGCAAAGTTTCCCTTTGCCAACTTCTGCATCACAAATGGCGACTCCCAGTAACAGTGATGTCAGAGCACTGGTCATGTGTTTGTGTCTCTGCTAGTCATGCACGTCCCGCTTTTTTGTAACATTTAGAGTTCTGTTCAAGCGGCACATCATAAAACAGAAAGGGCAGCTGGACCGAGACTGCAGCAGTTTTGTTTGGACCGGCATCTGTACCACTTTCGTGCATGAAAAATCTACTTCCTGTATGACATCTTTAATCGACAACACGAACCGCAATGAGTTTCAGATGCAGGTACAAACAGCTAGTTCACTATTGGCGCCACAACTCGCTCACACCATGACCAACAGTTAAGCATATTTCCAGCTTAAAGTGTTGAAGCTAGAAATATGAACCAAATCAGGAAGAAAACTTGGGTGATCATGTCTTCATTTACAAACACAATACAAGCACAATGAAATTTTCTAATTGACGCTAATTGACTTGTAAATGTACTGCAGCAGTTTATGTCAGGGGGTCCTGCTCAGTCTGCATGGCTGCCCTGTGGTCAGCCTTCCACAAACTGCAAGTGGTCCAGATGAAAAATACAGCATGGAAGTTCTTCATACGTTGAGGATTCAGCAATAATTGCAGTGCTTCTCCACCCTCGTCCCAGTATTTACATGTCAAACCAACCCAACCTATGTATGAGTGGACTGATGAAAATATCAGAGCAACTGAAGCTACTGCAAGAAAACAACTCTTTGGTTCCAGACAAAGAAAGACTGGAAGAGGAATTATTTATTTAAAGACTAATCCATCTCCACTGTTCAGCTACATTGCTTAGAGTCAATAAACTGAACGTTTATCTCGGAGTCAAGAATAACCATAAAAACTGACATAAAGAGGTGTTCAGTTGGACCAGATGAAGCTGTAGGTTTAATAAATAATTCAGGTACAGCAGCTTGGCAGCAGTCTTTGTATTCCTCAGAGGGAGATTGGTTCAGTTTCTGTTCTCCGCTGGGGAATCAAGCCAACCCATAACCTCTGACCTCTATCAACCATCTGACCTTTTCCCCCTTGACCTCTGCCCTGTACATCACTGCAGAGCACAGAGATACAACTCCAACATCATCCGTGGTGACATGCGACACATGCAGAGCTACTCGTTGACATGAAAATGTTTCTCAGTGATGAGCGTATGGTTCCTGGAGTCAGCTCTCTGTTTCACACAGGTACTCTGGTGCAACAAGTACTTGGGAGACGTTAAATAAACTCCCAATATAAAATCACCTCTGATGTTTTATTTATTTTATGAAATGAACTGACAAAACAACCATGATCAAATCTGTTTAATCGTAGGCCATTACGAGCACATTTGTCCCAAAGCTGTGACAGGTACGACGTTGTTATTGTCGAAGACGTCACCATCTTAAAAACTTATTTTTATTCTTTATATTTTGCTTTTTTTTTTGAGTAACTGGGACTATGTGCACATAATTTTGTTCCACCTCATGAACCATGTGTGTTGGAAATGACAATAAAGTTGAATTGAACTTGAACTTGAAAGACATCATCCTCTTAAAAACGATAAACTTTCTCACGAAAACAAGTGATTGCACTGATTGAAAGTAAAATCACTCTCTTCGCTTCCACAACGTAAATGAAAACTTAACATGACGTCAAAATGTCTGCCGTCCACCCACTGCAGAAACCTTTGAAACACTTCGCCACAAAAAGTGTTCTGTAAAAATGGTGCAAATACTAAGAAACAAGTGTTGGAACTGAGAGGAATCATTCACAGAACGCACGTGGACACATTCTGTTTCAGACACATCAGAGCGTGCATGTTATTTATAAGTTTGCACTGAGCAGTCAGGCTGACACCAGCTGGGCTCATATAACCGTGGAGGTGGTCTGTCGTGTCCAACGTCGTGTCCCCAGCTCTGGTTTAAACACTAGAGGTGAACTCACGGACATGTGCGATCGCTCAGTTCACTCAGAACAAACTGAAGCATCTGGTTGATCAACGGTCGTAGGATCCAAGCATGGAAACTGTTTAAAAAAAATCCATTTAAAAGTAATACTGGATTTAAAAGGTAAATAAAAACCACTGTCCTTACATCTCCATGCTGCAAATGTAAGAAGTGATGTTTAAAAGACCCTCTAAAGGTCTAGATTAAAGTTGAGTTTCTGCACTGGAACAAGCTGCAAGCTTAAAACAATGTGTTTTAGTCACTAAACCTTATGATTAAATGTTTTCAGACTACTGTATAATAATCCAATGATAGGAACGAGATGGTACACAGACTGATCATTGCCCCTGATAGTTAACTTTGGCCATTTGAACATTTTGCTGAAGGTCAGTCGAGACAATGAAAAGCAACACACACAACACAAAGCAAGTTCTGTCTGCAGGCAGTTTTGAGTAACCATCGCTTAGATTGCAACAGTAAACTCTACTGTATATTTAACTTCAGAGGCTGCGTTGTATAATCTGTGCAATGTTTCACGAGTTTGATGTTTAAATTCTTGCTGCCTTGCTAATTGCTCTACATCAGTCATTATCTGACAAATGTTCAGTCCGTGAGCCGTGTAACTTTAAAACAGCTTGCTCTGTTTTCTGCAAAGCCAAACACTGGTCACCACCAAACGTACACTGAATATTTGTATAATGCTCCTTTTCTGCACATGTTATGTGTTAAAACAGTTAGGATGTTTGTGGGGTGGATGTAAGACGGTTCAAAAGCTTTTGTACACAGTTTAAATGCAATTACTCCTTTTTCCAATGAGTAATATTCTGTAACTACTGCTACTCTTAATGATGACTATTTGACCATTTAAAGCAAATGGAGCTCAGATCTTTTGAAAAGGGGTTCTGTGGAAAAGTGTGAAATGACCAAGGCAGCATGGGGGGATTAAAGTCAACCTGCCACCAACACTCCTCTAATCGCCAAACAAGGTAGTAACAATGAGCATACGAGAGAGGAAGCCTGCTTCATGGCTCCTCGGTGTGATGGGGTGATGACAGACGGACTGTGTGTCCAGCTGTCAGCAGGATTTACAATGTCCAACACTGATTTTAAGCGTAACATTGCACTTCAACACCACAGAGTTATACTTCAGGCCAATTTTACCAGCTTCATCAATGGATGTGCACATCTTTGCAGGGCATGAGTTGCTGTTTATGAACGTTCAGAGGCAGGGGGTTTCATTTTAATGGCCATGCTGCCCAACTTATTTGTGAAAGAGCTCATGAAGAAAGCCTCAAGTTGGTGGAAAAAGAGTTAAAAACTGAATAAAGTAACCCTGCTTCCAAAAATCGAAACGATTCATCTAAGTTAAGAACTAAAGATGTGACTGAAATATGAGAACAATGAAGATAAATGTGAAAGAGCTTTTTGCATTGTGAGTGAGAGATGCTGGACAGTCTGTTCAATGAAGATGAACGTATATGGCAGATTATTTGGTGCTGGGCAATCAGCAGCCTTCTGTGGCAGCTGGAGGAGAGCAGCAGGTAGCTGGGGAGCTGTCCAAAGATATAACAGCTCTCGAGGGAAGCCAAGCAAAAGAGATGAGGAGGAGGACAGGGAAAGAAAACCGAGAGAGAGCAACAGGTCAAACATCCACATGTTCTTATTTTTATTTTCACAGCTCATTTAACTTCTGTTGATACTGAAAGAAGCATGAAATATTTGCGTTATTGCTTTAATATTGATTGACGACCCATTGGGCCACTTCCATTTGGCAGCTGTGCTGTCAGTTTTGTCCTCCCCTCCCTTGCAGTTCCCTGTGACCCTGAGGGATCCCAACCCATTCACTCTGCTACTCCGTAAAAACCAGGACAGTGGTTTGGGTTTTGAAACGCAGCGTGTGATTGTTGCCCTGTAATGTTTATCCTCAGCCACAGATGGTTTTTATTTATAATTCTCTTAATGTGAGCTGCAGAAGAGGGATGACTTGGAGTGAAACAGACGCTGAGCATCAATTCAGGGATCCACAATCCAATTTATTTAATAACTGAAACCTTATTTCAGAAACACGCAGGTGACAGGGGTTTCTAAGGAATGCAAATAGCATGAGGTGGCTACAATTTATAATCCTGTCATCTTGGAAAAGGGAAATAAATAGTGCAGTAGTAGTTTTGCCATGACCAAATAGACAGCACTTACTTGTGACGGGTCATAGGCTTGTTTGGTGAGTAATGAGGACTGAGTCCAGCTTTGTAGAGGTTGTATCTGTTTCCATAGAAAGGGTTGATGTGGCCTCCATACAGAGTTCCTTTACTATCCACCACACAGAGCAGCTGTCCCAGGAGAAAGATCAGTGCAGAGATTTGGCACAACTTGGTCCACATTGTTTGTTCTTTTTGGTCCTGACTAGTTCCAGAGTCTGAGAGATGCAGAAACCCGGTGATGAAACAACTTTAGGGTTCCTCAGGGTTTAAAGATGCTCCCCAGTACAGTTAAAGTCCTGCTTTCTTCAGTGGACCCTGAAGGCGACATGGAGCCCGGACAGCTAAAGCATCATCAGAAGCATCTTGACCTGTCAGCTTTCAAACTGACACAGAAAAAAAAATTTAATAAAATAAAAATGGAGCTCACAGGACAGAAAATCAAAAAAGTCTGTGAACCTGAAGAGAGAAAGGAAAGAATGAAGGCAAAGCAAACAACCCAAAGGTGTTCAGGAGGAGGGGAGAGGAGGAAGAGGAGAGCAGTAGAAAGAAGAGAATGAGGGTAGAGAGTGTGAGCGCCTCAAAAGTTTAAGCTTCATATGCACACACACACTCACACACACACACACACGAGTCCTGCAGACGAAGCTCAACCCTCCATGAAATGTGCACTCTGTATGAGTAAGGGTGTGTATTGTTTGTGTGTGTGTGTACGTGTGCAAGAAGCAGCGTGCTCTGCTGCCTCTGAAGGGGCAGGCAGACAGCCTCTATTTGCATATCCCACCCCAACTCTGTCTGGCTTCTCTGCACGTTGAGGGGACGGGCTGATGTTACTTCATGATACATTTCTTTTTCACTTCAACATCAGCAATAATTTTAAAGCAGATTAAAACTCCAAATTAGTTTGCATTGAACTCTAATCCTCATTGTCTCACTTATTTTTTGTCTGCTTAATCCATAAAAGTTTCAAGATTTTTGCCCATTTTGAAATAAATCTCGTCCTCTCCGTCTCGTTTCCAGGAGCAGCTGTGCATCAAAGTGACACCCTGGTGTGCAGCACCATGTGTGGAGCTGGGGTCAGCCGAAACGTTGCCGAGCCGGACACAATGGACCTGCTCCATTCTCCTCTGCTGTTAGTCATTAAATATCCCAACAAGAGCTTCGCTCAATATCCACACGCAGACCCCCCACTTACATTTGTTTTACTGGTCCTCTGTTTGAGTGTTTGTATTCGTGCCGCACTGCCTCCTGTGCATGTCATGATTTTTTAATGGAAATCATTAGATTTGTTCACAGATGAAGTGAGAATCAGTGACTGAGAGGGAGAGATGAACAAAAAAAATTGTATAAAATTTTAAGAAAATGTATTCTGCAGTCACAACAAAGAAAGACAAGAAACAGCCGACTGAATAAAATGTCAGCAAAGCACAGTTTTGATGTATCATCTCAAAGCCTCTGAGATTTGATTTATTTGAATGTCCTGATATTTTGTTGAGCAAAGCTTCTTTTATTTTATGGATAAACCAAAGAGAAAAAAAAAAAGTTTCAGTTTTCCAAAAATTGTGACTCTTTGTTGTTAAAGCTAATTTATTTTTGTCCACCGTCATGAAAGGAGGGTGATCATCTGTGTGTACTTGTGTTTGTTTGTCTGTTTGTCAGCAAAACATCTCATGAACCACTGGATTGAATTTAATGAATCTCTGAAAGTAATCACTGGATGTACATCTATAACTAACTACAGCAGTCCCTCGTTTATCGCGGGGGATCCGTACCCTGAAGACCCATGATAAGTGAAAAAACACAAAAAGTAGTAGTTTATTTTATTATTTATATAGATATAGGTAAAGGCATTTAAATCCTTCCCACACTCTTGCAATATTCTAAACAATGTTTCTAAACTTTAAACGCTCTAAAAGAGCACAGCATGATTTCAGCTCCCTGCCTCCACTGCTCTTTGCCACCTGCAAGCGCTCTTGGCCACGCCCACTTATCCGCTCTGCACGCTGAACATCTGATAAAATAAAATAATTTATTTTAAATAACAATTTCATGACGATCATGCGGCTCATCCATCAGTTAGCCAATTGTGTTTCATGTCCAGTCTTATTTTTTGAAAAACCGCGATAGAGCGAATCCGCGATAAACGAACTGTGAAGTATCGAGGGACTGATGTATACTGAAATCAGCCTGATTCAAAACAAACAAAACAACAACAAACACAACAATGGCTAGAACTCCATCAGTTTTACGTACGACATGCTAACATTTGTTGTGGTATTAGCAGAACGTCATTCTCAAAGCATATTCTGGGCTCTAACAGATTTCACGAGTTCTTTGTTTAAGACGTTAGCATTAACTGTTAACAGTCAACGCCTTCTGTCTGTTAGCAAAATATCTCATAAAATGGATTTTAATGACACACAAAAAGTAATCGCTGAATGTAATTAAAAAATTGAAAAGTAATTATTTTCTTCTTTCGGCTGCTCCCTTCCTCAGGGGTCGCCACAGCGCACTAATTTGCACGAAGGCTTGACAGTGGTTTTTACGCTGGATGCCTTTCCTGACACAACCACAGACTACGAGCTACCTCATCCTTCTGTGTGGAGCAGAGAGCTGCCATCTAGGGCACCTGTGGGAGCAGGTGGTGGGGGTTACGAGCCTTGCTCAAGGGCCCAGAATGGGGCAAATGACGGGGCTTTATCTTAGATCAGGGCTATTCAACTAATTGCTCAAGGGGTCACAGTTACTGAAAGCCAAGAGCTCCGGGGCCGGACATCCAGCAGTTATTGTCATTAAGTACGATTTTTTTGTGTGGTTTAAAATCTAGTTTTATTTAAAAATAAACCCATTGGTGGGTCCAGCTGAGTTCAGTCGTAGGCCTGATTTGGACCCCAGGCCACCAGTTCAACCACCCTGCCTTGGACATGGATCTGGAGAGTCGAACCTGCGACCATCCGATGACAGGCTCGCCTTCTCTAATGTCTGCTCCACCACTCCCCCGCTCTGCAAAAGTTATTTTCATGAGTGAAATTTGGTGCGGTAGTAACTGAGTCATCACCATCCCATAATCTGCTAACAGGTTGCATGAGCTCTTTGTTTAAACATTTGACATGCAGCTCTGTGGGTGACATGCATCCCTTCAATTAATTGTGGTTTAATAGAACATGTTTAGACGAGAAACGGTTTTAGAAGTTACAGTGAAAAACAACTCAAAGAAAGCAGTTTGTGGCATCTTTACCACCTTTGTGTTGACTGCGCCCCGTTGAACCAGCTCTATTTACCCTTTATTTTCAAGTCAGTGTGAAAGAAAACTCGTAGTTTCACAGTTTGCACAGAGACGTGTCACATATGTGGAATAGTTCCTGAACACGTGGACGCCTCACAGGCACCCCCCCATGAAGACGGTCAATCAAATGTTGGCTTACTAGTTGACAAAAGAGCGAACCAAAACCTTTAAAAACAAATATAATTTATAGTCCCTGAATCCTTTTTATCTCACTCCAAGGTGTGTACTGTATGAGAACTCCTGTATACCAGTTAGTTATTTTTCAGCTGCTCACATCTTTGAAAAGTTGCAGTATTTTTGGAAGGCTCATCCAATCACTTCAGAGACTGTCATTTCACAACAGCAAGGAGACAGCGGAGAGGAAACTATTCAAAATCTGTCTGCTCTGGCAGCCACTGATGCACTAAAATACCATTTTTCAAAGGAATCGCAGGGAAAAATGTTAATAAACTGTCTGACTGTCCAAATAGAAAGGAAAAGGTGGGATTTATTTCTCTTTGTGATATCTGTGTATCAGATGTTATATGCTGCATGTCAGGGAGTGCTATTGGAAATATTCAATAGCGATTTCTTTTATGTCGAGAATAAAAGAGTAAAAGAAAGGGAGTCAGCAAAACGAAAACTGTATTCCAGTATTAATGATTGAAAAAAGTTGTGACTTACTGAACAAAAACAGGTTTGTTGACTGTAAGCCTGGATCTTTTACATTATATCCTTTTTCTTTTATGGTTTTCTTGTTTTTATGGTGTGTGTGTGTGTGTGTGTGTGTGTGAGCCTGCCAATCTATAATAAATATCGTCTGTGCTACATCTGCAAATAATATTAGTTTGGGCTTTTTGAATCGAGGTTCTGTGGAAAAGCCACAAACAATTAATATCTTACCTGTTGCAGATAGCTCTTTCAACAACCTCGCTTTGTAGAAACAGACCTTAATTGTGACCAGGCTGACAGCTTGTCTGAGCAGAAACAAAACCAAAGTGGATTTCTGTCATCTACAACAACTGTAATCACAAAAATGTCAGAGCAGTAGATATTAATATATTATATTATTTAAATGTTACACAGCTAGCAGTTCTACAGCTGCTGCTGTCACAATCTGTGGTTTAGTGACAGTTTTTATATTTTCTGTTTTTTTTTTCTTCTTCTCCGTTTGTTTATTGTTTTGTCCCCCTTGTGTTGAGTTTTTGTTCCTCTGTGTTTCTCTGAGCCACCAGCTACCTACCCCAGTATTTTTCCACATTTTGCCTCTGCTCCTAAGTCCTGCCACGCCCACCTCACCTGTTCCCCATTCCCATTAGTCTCAGCTGCGGCCACTTCTCTCAATAGACCCAGCCTTTTCCTTCTGTCAGCTTTTCTCTGCTCAACAGTTGAGCATTATGTATTTTAGATGCCATGTCCAATTCTTCCTGTGCTCTCCTCAAGCCCCAAGTGTTTGTCAGCTGCCACGCTGGCATTTTGATTTTGTTATTGTTTTAAAAAATATACCTTTTTTTTGTTACTTTTTGAGCTGCTTGTGTCAGTCTGCATTCTGGGTCCAAAGCTTTCGACAATGTGACATCTGCTGCTATTTATTTATTAATAATGTCAGAGTCAGAGATTCTTTATTGTCATTCGCACCTCACGTGGTACATGTGGTGGAGCGAAATTATGTTCACAGGGTCCCAGTTACATCCAACAATAAAATGTAAAAGAAAAACAGTAATAACATCTAAGATATGAACTAATAAAAACATCAACTAAATATACACTAAGCACTAATAGCATAAAAGCATTACGGGGAACATCAGCACAAACATGAACATGAGTCTGTGTGAGCAGATGAGCACGCATGAACACATCAACATGAAACAGATCAGCAGCAACATGAAACAGATCAGCAGCAACACAATGTGATTTT